AAAAAAATACGTTTTTACCATTCATACGTTAAAGTTTTCATTTAACTTAAAATATTATTATTATTATTATTATCATTATCGTAGAACGATAAAAATTATTATATTTTTAACGATGAATCGATGACGTTTTTACGATGTCGTATCAAAAAAAATTTTTTTTTTCACATTTTATATCCGTTAAGAAAATGATTCCTTTGTCAAAACACGATTTGCAAATAAATATTAATAATAATAATAATAATAATAATAATAAAAATTAATAAATGAAAAGTTAGGAAAAGAAAAGTAAAAAAAAAAAAAAGCATAAAAAAAAAATTTTTTTTTTACCCAATAACTTGGATTAAATCCACGATTTGTGTTTGTTGTGTTCGTGTTTGTTTTTTATAAGGGAAAACGATTAAATGTAAAATTTTCTGTTTTTTTTTCTTTTCTTTCTTTTCACTTTGGGGGTCACTCTATGAAAACGTTTTGTATTGTTTAATGTGCGTTTGTCGAACGCAGATTAAACAAACGATATGCACACATCAATTGTTTCTTCCTTATCAAAACCGTTTGTTGTATTAAACAGTTCAATGGAATCATCATACTATTCCGTCAAACAAATAGTTATTTATTTATTTTTTTTTTTTTTTGGTGTTGGCGACATAATAAACGAAGAGGAAAGTATTGAAGTGGTATTGAAAGAATAGTGAAAAAAAAAAAAAAGGAAGACAATGGTTAAATGGAGATTTTAATGAGAAATCCATGAAGAGAGCCCGTATGAAACACGTGGATGTCACGTGACGACAAGGGGTGCCCTGATAATCCTTTGTTGACGTAGTTGTTTGATTCTTTGTCTTCTTATATATGTATAAAAAAATTTTTTGTTTTTGTTTTGAGTGAGTAGTTGGTACGAACAATGCTTATGCTGTCTGTATATGGCATAATTTACACTTATGAACGTGAATATTATTATTATTATTACGAAAAAAAATTACCAATTCGTTTAAACGTAGGTTTTTAATTAAAGATTTTTTTTTATTTCGAATTTTGATTTTCCCGCGAGGTTAAAAAAAAAATTATCATTATTATTAATAATAATAACTAATTAATTGAGAGTAAGATAAAATTTAATTAAATATATTTTATTACCTAAATGGTAAAATAATGTTTAACAAAATTTTGTGGTAGAAATAAAATTATACCCTTGTAAAATTGTATAAATACTTCTTAAGAAAATTTATATAAATTTCAAGGGTAAGAAAAAGGGGTGGGTAATTTAAAATATTAAACCCACAAACTAAAGGTTAAACTAACTACTAAGATGTATAAATCTTTTATTAATAATCCAGATGTCTTTCATCTCGTTTCATTTCCGGAAAATTTTTTTAAATGTTAAATTTTTTTAAAAAAATAAATTGATTTTTGTGTGTGTGTGTGTGTGTGATATTCGGAAAATTCAGTGGAAACATTTGTCGTGGGAAAACGTCAACAAAAAAAAAAAAGGAGAAAAATGTCAGGAATTGAATGTCACGCGACGAAGTGGAAAATTCGTCAGCAAGTAAAAAACCTGACACTTTTGCTGACAAAGTCCCTATTATTTTTGTTAGAAAAATTAGTTCAATTTTTGGTTATTTACACAGTTTCACACAAACTTCTCGTTAATCTCTCGTTTTCATTGTTGACATGAGACCTCGTTTTTGTCAAATATAATGATGTTTTTTTATATGTAAAAAAAAAAAAAAAACTTTTACCAACTTTAAAAAAAAAAAAAAATTTCTTTTTTTTTAAAATCTTGTTATATATATTTTGTTTTTGCTGTAATTAATTTTTAACATCGTCTAAACATTAATTAATTAATAATAAATCGACATTTTCCTAATATTTATATTTGAAAACGTTGAAATTTTTATAAACTTTTTTACAAAAACAAATTTTAAATAACAACAACAAAAAAAACAACAACAACCGGAATTTTTTATTGTTTATAATGGTACAATATTTATAATAATAAATTTATTTTCGATAAGCCTCCAGTGTTGAAATGAATTGAAAAAATTGCGCGCCTAAAAAAAAAAAGTAAAAGTCTTATGGAAAACAAAGTCCTGAAGGAATTTTATAAAAGAAAATTGAGGAAAACGATTTCGTGTTTTTACGGTGATTGAATCAATTATACGGAAATCGAAAGCACTTTTTTTTTTTTTTTTTTTTTTTTCTAACAGTTATACAATATTTCTCTTTTCAAAACATCAATGCCCTTAGGAAAGGTTAAAGAAAAAAAAAAAAAAAAAAAAAAAAGGATGAGTGACAAAAACGGAAATGAACAAATGCATAAATTATTAACCATTTTTTTTTCCTTTCTCCCGCGTATTCTTATTAAACCATTTGATAAAAATCCCCCTCCATCCCTCTCCCCCTCCAAAATGGTAGAAACTATTAACAAAACCTTAGAAAAACTTTTAGTTTGATGAAAAATTGTGAAAACATACAAAATAAATAAGGAAAAACAAAAAAAAAACAAAATTGTATATTTTCATTTAAGTTTATAAAGAATCTTTATAAATGTTTATTTGTTTTTTTTCGATTTATTTATTATTATTATTATTATTTCTACGTAAATTACGCGTTTCTTTTTTTTTTTTTTAGCACGAAAAATAATAATGAATGGGTTTGGAAAAGTAAAAAAAAAATTTGTTTTTATTCGCCATTTTAATTTTTTGTAAACAAATAAATTCGTTTTTTATTATTATTATTATTATTTCCAGTTCGTATCAAGTGTCGAATTTAATAAATCAAAAAGAAAATAAGGTGAATAACACCTTAACATCTGGTTAACAAAAAAAAAAAAAAACAAACTATAAAAAGAAGTAAAAAAAAAAAAAAAGAAAGTAATCATAATGTTAAATTAATGATAAAGGACTTCCAACAGTGCAAGCGTGTACAATTTCATGTTAAAACCCTTCATTAGGGGTTGTTGTTTATTGGCTGAAGCAAGCGATGAAACGTTTCTTTCTTTCTTTTTCATTTCCAATTAAAAATAATTTTTTTTTTTAAATACGAAAACGTTAGACAAACTTTTACAAACTTTTTTTTTTTTTTTTATCATTTAATCCTTCTTCGAAAGATTCAGGAGAAAAAAAAAATAAAATAAATAATGAGAAATAATAATAATAATTTTTTTAAAAAAAATTTTCAATGCGATTTAAAAAAAAAAAAACAAAACAAAACAAACAAACAAACATACGGTTCTTTGTATCAGATTTGTTTTTGTGTTTCATTAAAAAAAAGCGAATAATGTTTTTGTAATTATTATTGTATAGTTGGCGACACGCTGAGTTTTTTTTCCTTTTTTTTTTCCTTTTTTCCTTTTTTTTTTTAGAGCACGAGGGTGACACTCACAAACACAACAACAGCAGCACTCTTGAATCCGCCTTAGGCTGTCAAATATTCAATTTTATAAACAAAGTTTTTTTTTTTTTTTTGTGTGTGAGTAAAACAAACGATACCGTGAAAACACACAATGGGTGGATGATAATAATAATAATAATAAGCACGAGCTTCCTTTAATTTTTTTTTTTTTTTTGAAAATTTTTTTTTTATTCAATAAAATTTCCATTTTTTTTTTTCATCAAAGAAACTTAAATTTATACTTAAAAAAAAAAAAAAAAAAGACAAAAACTTTAAAAGTTTCAGAACACTTTTAAAACAAAAGACACTTTGTGGTCCCTCCCCCTCCCCCTCCCCCCACAGTGGAAAATATTGCTGAACAAGGATGAAGACAATTTTTTTTTTTTTTTTTTCAAGTATTCTTTATTTTATTTGTTCTTCTTTGTTTCGTACAGGAAATTCGGGATACTAAACTAATATTTCTATTACTTTTTTTTTAGGATCCTTCTAAAACACATTTTTTAAAAAAAGAATCTTAAAAATAAAAAAAAAACTTCACCCGGCTCTCGGTTCATTCAACTTATAACTAACTGATTCTGTTTTTTGTTTTAGTTTACAAAAGGTAAAAAAAAATTACTTTGAATGATGTTTCAAATATTTTCTTTTTATTTCTTCATCAACAAACGAACCGTTATGTGTGGGTGTGGGCGTGTGCGATGAAAAATTTTTTTATTTCATTACAAAAATATTTGCTAATGTGATTTTTTGCAAAATATTTTGTAACCGTTAACGAACATGACTTTATGCAAATGCAAAATAATCGAAATTTATATTTAAAAAATGCTTAATAAATAAAATAATTTATTAATTTTATAAAATAATAAATTTTATTATAATTATTTTCGTTCAAAACTAAAATTTATTATTCATTTTCAAAAAAAAAATTCATGAAAAGCGGTTAACGGCGGAAAAGCGTCCAGTTCAACATTCGTTACAAGCATGCGTTAAAACGCGCAGGGAATTTTTTTTTTTTCATTTTTAAGTTGGCCAACATGTATAATAATTTTGTTTACTATTGTAAATTTTTTTGAATTATAAGGTTAGCTTTGTAAACAAAACTTTCGTGAATGAACATGTTTTACTCGGTTTGTTTAGTGATTTAAAAACTAAAAAACTTTATTAAAAAATATTTTAATCGTTACTTTTAAATATATCGATCGCTAAACGTATTTATAATGTTTTAAAATTTCCACCTTTACAACATTCTTTTTTTTTTTTTTTTTTATTGAAATGGCCTAATTATTTATGAATTATAGCTATTTATGTATATATGTGCCTTACTACTTTTAAATTTAGGAAAGTAAGTTTCTTTTTTTTTTTTTTTTTTTTTAAACTCTTTAAAAAAAATTTTTATTTACTGTATCAAAACATTGCAAAAAACGAATGATTACATTAAATTAAATTGTTATTTAATTAAATATTTATAATTAATTTTGGTTTAAAAAAATTTACTTTCCCTTTTAAATATGTTTTATTAATATAATATAGTTATTTAATTTTTTTTTGTGGAATAATATTTTGTACTCATAATTTTTTATTAATTTAGTTTCAGATGATAATGAAGAAAATTTGTTATGGAGTATGATGATCCTTATGAGCAGTATCTTTTAGCCGTATTTCAAAGTTGTGATGATTATTATCAAGGTAGTTTAAGCGCAGCTGGACTGCAACAATTGTGCGAAAAACTTCAACTTCAAGATAGTTGTGGAAAATTAACAAAATGCTTATTAGATGATTTTAAATCTAAAAGAGTTAGTTTTGAAGATTTTAAAAATGGGTTATTAAGAATCCTCGACGAAATGGATAGGGCAGAAAAATCAAGTTGCGAATTTTCATCTGGTGAATATATATATTTTTTTTATTTAATTAATGTCATATATAAAGATAAGTAATGTTCAAATTTACTTTTATTTTAACTAAAATTACTTATTATAATGTTCGATAACATTTGATATTTTATTCTTTCGATATTTCTTAATGGACAACACAAATTTCGAAGACAATACATAAATCAAGGTTTTTAAATTTTAAACTTTACTAATAATTTAATTATTACTGTTCGAATAGTTTCAGTTAATGAAAATCATTCTGAGAATACAATTATTAATGAAAAGAATGCAATTTATTTAAAATCGGAAGATGATAGCGATTATGAAAATGAAAATTTTTCAAATAATTCTTTTAAAATGCAACATGATTTGTTACCTGTTTATAGCTCAGACAATAGTTATTTCGAAGAAGCTGTCCCTAAAAAACCCAAGAAAAGAGTTTTGAAAAAAAATAAAAGAAAACTTTACACTAAAGTGTCTGGTATTTTATATTTATTTACCTTAGAAGATGGAAAATTAATTGTCCATTATTTTTTTTTAGTTAAAAAAAAAAATTAAAATAAACTTTTTTTTTTTTAGGAAAAAGCGATTTAATAATTGACCTTAATAATACTACCTCGGTTAAATCTACTAACGAAGTGGAGCACCTGGTCACTGCGTGGTCAAACATATCCAGAGGTGTCACGGATAGTTTAAATAAAGACGATTTAGTAAAAGTTTTTCAATGTGTGGGCTTAGAAAAGAGCTCAGAAGAGGTGGGCGAGCGATTTACAGGCCGTTTTTTTTTTTTTTACGTGTAACTCATTGTCAAGGTCAGTTATAAAGTAATAAATAAATGGTGGTATGTAATTTTTTTTTTTAAAGGCCGCTCAATGCGTTTTTGAGAAACTCGATGTCGAGGATAACGGAAGAATAACTTTACAAGAATTATTAGAATTTATAAGGAGTGGAGGGAGTTGGTGTAAAGAAAGCAGAAGTCAACCCATGGAATTGGAACCAACACAAAAAAATATTTCAATGGATTTTATAGAACCTTCTAGCCTTGGGTATGTAATTTTTTTAAATATTGTTCGAATCATTTTACTCGTGTTGAGTGATGCGCAATTATTATTATTATTTTTAATTTTTTTAGCTGTATAACCGGTGCCTTTTTAGTCGAACAATGGGAAAGTGCTGGAGTACCTGGTGCGCCTCAACTTCTTCAAAACCTCGGTTTTTCTCTTTCACAACAAATCGATTTATCATCACTTGTATCCATGTTGTCTGACGAAATAAAGGGCCTGAACGATGAAGTTAAATCCACCAGACGCAGCATGGATCCTCATCTTGCACTCCTCTGGGCAAATTCCGTTTTGCAAATCATCTACATTCAGACATTAAAGTAAATATTTAAGTTATTAATTTTCCCCCAGGGGAAAATTTGATTATTTTAAAAGTTTTATTGATTTTATCAAATTCAAATTTCAGAACTATGATAGAGCATGTAAATGCAGAAAAAGAAAAATTACGAAACGATGTTACGGAAGCCAATCAAAGAGCTTTACTTTTGGCTCAAGAAGTTGACGAACATCATTCAAAACTCGAGCATTCCACGCAACAACAAGTTAAGTAAGTAATAAATAAATAAATAAATTATTTATTTATTTAAGTGAATCTGAAAAAATATCAATAAAAAAAAAATATTAAACGCAATAAAAGAATAATTTAAAGATAATGCGTTCACGCGTCCTTGCATTCTCTTTGTCTTTTTTTACCAAATACACACGTATTTCGAATTCGCTTGTTGTGAAAGGCCAATCGAAAAATGATTTTAGAAAAATAATAATAATTTGTGTTTTTTTTTAAGGAACTTGGAACAAAAGCACGCGGAGAAAATTAGAGAATTGACTAATCAAGCAAAATCAGAACAAGATACTCTCCTTGCTCAAAACATGGTACTCGAAAGAAAATTAAAACAGCTAGAAAGTGACGAAGTGAAAAATAAAAACTTGATATCGCAGTTGGAAATGGAAAATAGGATGTTGGAACAGGAGCACAGAAATGTCATCGACCAATTATCGGCAGTGCAATCATCTAAAAAAAAATTAGAAAAAGATTTGGAAAATGTATCCGTGCTTCAACAAAGGGTAATTAAATTTTTACAACTTTTTAGTTTTTTTTTTTTTTTTTTTTTTTGAATCACGCGCTCACGAATCGATCACGCTTTTTTGGTTTTTGATTCTTTTGAAAACAAAATAATTTTTTTATTTTTTATTTTTTTTCAGGTGTCCGAAATGGAGTCGAACATGAGCGAAAATGACGTAATGAATTTGTTGGAAAGAATACAGATATTGGAAAAAGAAAATACTTGTCTTCGCGACAGAAATGACGAGTTGTCAATCGAAGTGGAAGAATTGTCAATGAAATTATTGAACGCATCAATGAAAAAGTGAGTGAGTGACAAAGTCTTTGGGTCGTTTCCAATAAACTTGTATAAATTCCCGGTAGAAAAAGAGGTTAAAATTTTTATTTTTTCTCTTTTGTTCGTCGTTTAAAAAATTCATTTACTCTCACGTAGGCAACAAAATACATCGAATTTGCCCTCGATGGAACTCTCGATGGAAGAAGGTTTCGTAGGTGGTGGAATGAAACGACGAGGAGATTCGTTTGTGGTATCGGATTCAGCCGAAGACAGCGGAGGAGAAGAAGGAAGTCCGAGATTGGGAAAAGTACGAAAATGTTCAAACGTGAAAAGTTTTGCGGATGCAACATCATCGATGCAAGGTAAAAAAAAAATTATATTTATTTAATTTAAGTTTTTCTTTTTTTAACAAAAAATTTACCACGTGAAAAAAAAAAAATGGCGAGTAATTCTATTTTTAACCTTTTGATTTTGTAGAAAGGAATCAGTCAAGGTTTTTTTTTTTTGGCAACGTTCAATTATTTTAAATTAAATTTTAAATTTTTTTTTTTTTTTTTTTGTTTAAGAACTTCAAATTCAAGAAAAAAAAAATTTTAAAGAATGCGGACAAAGTTCACCCTCAACGGCCGAATTACCTTTTTCAAATATCGAAGACGTAAGTGAGGGGTTAAAAAATAAATAAAAAATTTTTTTTAATTTCGAACATTTTCAACACGTCGATTGACCGTCGACAATGCATAAATTATTATGTACATAATTTTTGTATTTTATTTTAATATTATTTTTATTTTAAATTATTTTCATTTTTTTTTTTGATTTTTTTTTTTTTTTGGTTTGTTTTGTTTTGTTATCCTTTTGGGAGTTGGGGGAGGGGTTGTGGTGTTGTAGAAAAAAAAATGTAGTTGTGAAAGCGTGAGGTGCATTGTAAACCGGTGAAAGTTTTAGGTAAGTTTTTTTATGTCAAATAAAAAAATTATGGGCTTGCTTTATGGGTTTATTGTAAAAAAAAAAAAAAAACGATTTGCGTTTGTGTTAAATTTAAAAAAAAAAACTAATTTTAACATTAAAAATCGGTTAAAAAGCTTTAATAAATTTTTTTTTTGTTGCTTTGATTTAATCACGTGGAAATTGTAAAAAATTTATTTATTTTAAACAAATAAAAAAATCGAATAATAATAAAATGGTCGATTCACATATAAAATCTCGTGCCTTTCTCCAAAAAATTACAACAGGTTAGTTTAAAACAAAAAAAAAAAAATTTGTGAATTCATAAAAAAGTGGAACAAAAGAATGTGCGTGACTTATTTAATGCTATCAGGTAGTCTAAAAATAAATGAAAATATTTTAAATTTGTAAATTAGTCAAAGCTGAAAAAAAGGGATTCGAGCTTTTTATATTAAAAAAAAAAAAAAAGTAAATAATTGTAACGTTAAAAATTTAAATTTTTTTTGTTTTTTTTTTTAATTATTAACATTTTCTCTCATTTTTTTTTATTATTAATTGTGTTGTTGGGTTTAAGGGTTTAAAATTGTCAAATTTCGAAAAGTTTTTTAATTTTTTTTATAATAAAAATTACAGGTTTGTGTTGAAGAAGAAAAAGAAAAAATCGGAGAGGAAAATTTAGATGCCATCGAAAGAATACGAGGGATACAGAAAAAATTAAACGAATATGATAAAAGTTTGGGTGATGATTTAATGGCCGCGTTCAACGAATTACTAGTTAAAAATAATAAAAATAATGAAGAAGAGGATAAAAATTTACGGAATCGTTGCAAGGAACTCGAATCCAGTTTGGAATTACTTAGAATGGAATATGAAAAAACGGAAGATTATTGGTCGGAAAAACTCGAAGAGGAAAGGATATTTTTCGAAGAATTACAAAAGCTCAGCGATAAAAAATATTCCGAACTTTTAGATAAAATATTAGAATATGAGGACATGCTTAAATGTGAAAAAGAACAAAAACAACGTTTGGAAACAATCGAAGAAAAAGACAGTTTCGAAAAACAGGTCATTGTTTAATTTTTTTGTGTGTGTGTATTGACAAGCAAGTTGTTGTTGTTTTTTCGTGTCACGTGTTGATGATAATTTTTTTTTTAAAAACAGGTTACCGAAATGGAAGAAGAATGTGCTGAATTAAAATACAAGTTAGCTGAAACGATGAGAATGAAAGATTTAGAAATCGAACAACTTAAAAATGAAATTGCGAATTTAAAACTCACGAGAGATTTCACGGATTCGGGAGTTCAAGTTTCCGACGGGGCCAACATTGATTCGTAATAAATCTTTTTTTTAAATTGACGTGATTTCCCCCCCCCCTCCCAAAAACATTCTCTGACATCCAAAGGATTATTATTAATATATTCGTTTTTAATTTTTTTTTTTTTTCAGAAACGAATCGTCGGACGTGCAAAATTCACACGTGAAATTAACAACGAGTCGGAAATCTTTAAATTCTTTCCAAGATAAAAATTTTTGCAAACAATGCAACGGAGATTTGAAAAAATCATACGAGACAAAATTAAAATACCAACGAGAATTGGAATCGATGAGAGAGGAACGGGAAAGATTATTCGACGAAGTAAAAAAAAAAAAAAATAATTATTCGAAAAGAAAAAGAAAAAAAGAGGGAAAACAAAGAAGGAAAATATTTATTCATTTTATTGTTTTTAGATAAATGAAAAGAAACAAATAATAAACAATTACAACAACAGTAATTGCGGGAGCGGCGGCGGCGACAACAACAACAAATTTCAAAACATGCATTTGGAACAAAGGTGTCAAACTCTTATGACGACTCTTAGACAACAACAAAAACAAACGGAAGATATATTAAAGAGTGAGTATAATTGGGAGGGGAAATCGATTTTCATGTACAAGACAAAAATAATAATGATGATACGTAAGTAAACCGTTTTAAACCTTTTTTTTTTTTTGCCAGATACTTGGAAGCAACACAAGGCTGAAGTAAACGATCTTAAATCCGTACTTAAAATGACGGAGGATAAATTAAAATGCCAGACGAAAGTCATACAAGAACAATTGAACAAATTGACAAAAACGGATCTTTTAGTCAAGGATTTATTCGTCGAAAATGCTTATCTATTATCATCTGTACAAAAACTCGAACAGCAATGTCAGACGACATCGTCTACAAATAGTAAAAAATAATAATAATAATAATTAAATTAAATTTTTTTTTTTTTTTTCAAAAAAAAAAAGGCAAACACGCAGAATCTCAATTTTCATCATAATTTTGTGTCACGACGGTTACGAATGGTTTAAAATAATAAATAACTAGTTATTAATAATAATAATAGTAATAATAATAATAATTGTCCGATAGTTTTTAAATAAAAGGATAATTTATACTTGCAAAAGAATTTTTTTTTCTTTACTCGTATTTGTTTTTTTTTTTTTTTTTTTTTCAATAAAATTTTTTCGTTTAGTTTCGAATTAATTATTTTGTATTATTATTATTATTATTATTATTGAACTGTTTGTTTGTTATTATTATTTAAATGTAAAATTTTTGTTTAGGTAAAAATGAAAAGAAAGAGAGTTCGTGATAGGAAATTTAATTTTTAAAAAAAATTTTTTTTTTTTTTTTTTTTTTTTTGAATGTGTTTCGTTTCGTATTTGCTCAATTTTTTTTTATTTTATTTATTTATTATCATCATAATTATTAGTATTATTATTATTATTAATTTAAATCAATAGTTATTTATTATTTTTCGCGTGTAAAAAATAATTAATAATTAATAATAATGAATACATATCAATTAAAATGATTTTTTTTTTTTTACTTTTTGTGTGTACGTACGGAGAATTTTTTATTTTTTGTTTTCAAAGAAGGTTAATTAATGTATCCTATTTAAAAAAATAATAATAATAATTAATTTTTCTTGTTTTGCTTTCCCCCGCCCTCTCCCCCCACCCTCGAGAAAAAAGCTTTAAAATAAAAAATGTAATTAATAATAATAATAATGATTAAAATTAAAAAAAAAAAATAAATCGGCGCGTTAGTATACTTATTTGATTTTTTTTGTTCAAAAAAATATTTCGATTGTTAATAATAATAATAATAATTATTATTATTATTGTTGTGTAAATTTATATATATATAATAATTGTTTATTGTCAATAAATAAATAATTTATTTATTAATAGGAATGCATAAATAAATAAATAAATAAGTAAATCCGTCCGAGTGTTGTTGTTGTGTTAAAAATTTGCTTGAATTTATTTATTTACTTATTTTTTTTTTTTGTTTTAAACAAATTGAAAAATTTATTAATTTGTTAATAAAATATTATTTTTTTTATTATTATAAATAATTATTATTATTATTATGATCGTCGATTGTCAATATATAAATAAATGAAAATAATAAAATAAATGTTGCATATTGTAAAAAAAAAAAAAAAAAATTGCCTCTTATTATTATTATTATTATTATTATTATTAATAAATGTAATTTGTTTATAAAAAAAAAGAAAAAATTGTTTATAAATATTAATAAAAAAAAAAATTTGGCTTATATAAAAAAAATTAATTTCAATTTAAATTTTTTAATCCGATTTAATTATTGCTTTAAATTGTTAAAAATTAATAATTTTGATTGAAATTTAATAATAATAATAATAATATTAATGATAATAATGATATTAACGGTATAAAAAATCAAACCGTTTTATTAATTATATTATAATATTATAAATATTATAATATAATATACTATAATATATAATATAATATATAATATAATATAATATAATATATATATAATATAATATATTATAATATAATATTATAATTATATTATAATATTATAATATAAATTTAATATTTTATTATTATTATTATTATTATTATTATTAATATACCCAATGATAATTTTTTTATATTATTTTCAAGTTCGTTTTTAATTTATTTAGATGGAAATTAATGAATTTAAAAAAAGAAAAAACGGATTTCACCTTTGACCTTTTGATTTTTGATTACGTAAATAATAAAAATATTAATTATTTTTCCAGATGGCGATTATTTTAATTTTTTTTTTCAGACGGAACGACAAAATTTCCAAAAAGTTTTTTTTTTTTTTATCAAAATCGAATGTTATCATCAAAATGATAAGAAAATGATAAAATTCCGTGGAAAAAAAGAAATTTTCGTGGTACGAAAATATTTCCAGGATTTTATCCATGATTTGATAAGTATTAAAAAAAATTTAAAATTTTACGACGTTTATCAAACGTTCAGGTATCCGTCCATCCATGCCCTCGATGACAAATCTCTTCCCCCTCTCTCCTCCTCTTGCTCCTCCTCTTATTACGTAACGTTTGCTTACGTCATTCACGTTTTATTCAAACAACAAAATAATAAACGAATTTTTTTTTTCACTTTTCCAGGTAAAAAAAAAAATTTTTAACGGGATGATTCATTCTGGAGAGATTCAAGGAATTATATAAATAACTACGGAAATTAATAAGAAAGGTAATTAATAAATAAATTAATAAATTAATTAATAAATTAAATAAAAAGAAAGAAACAAAAAAAAAATTTTTTTTCTTTATTTAATTATTATTATTATTATTAAAACAAACATTCGACTAACATTTAAATGTAAATAAATCTAAATAATTTATTTATTTTTTTTTTAAATAATAAACACGACGAATACATAAATTTTTATTAAGATTTTTTTTTTTCGTTTCAAAAGCAAAAAAAAACAACCGAAATTTTTTTTTCCTGTAAATTATTGTTGGTTGTTGTTTGTACTACAACCTTTTTAGAAAATTTTTCTTTATTTTATTTTTTTTAATTTGAGCTTTTTTATTTCTTTTTAAACAAATTCGAAAATTAAACAATAATAATAATAATAATGATTTGAGCTTTTTTTTAATATTAAAAAATTTTTTTTTGTTTGTTTGTTGTTGTTGTTGTTGTTATATATTAAATTTCAGTCGTTTTTTTAAATTTTGGCAGGACTTAAAAATTTTTTTTTTTTTTTAAATATCGTTTTTTCATTATCATCATCATCATCGATATTTGTCGTTTTGGCAGTTTTATTTAAATTTTATCGAAACGTCATCGACATTTTTTTTTTTTTTGAAATTTGATAACATCCGACAATTGTTTATAAATATATTGTTTAAACAAAAAAAAAAAAATTACGACGAAATCGTTTTATTGAAAATTTAAAACAAAAATATAAATTAAAATAAAAATAATACAAACTTATTTTTTAATAATCAACTATTATATATGTTAATATTATTATTATTATTATTATTATTATTATTATTATTATTATTATTATTATTATTATTATTATTATTATTATTATTATTATTATTACTACATTAAAAATTATATAAAAAAAAAAAAACAAATAAACAAAACTTTTACAATCGGCTCGTGACTTTTTTTTTTTTGGTTTTTATTAAAATTTATTATTTATCGATTTAGAATATAAAAAAAAACTTAATTATTTAAATAAATGACGTAATTAAAACGTCCCCTTAAATAATTAATAATAATAATAATAATAATGATAATGATAAAAAGTTACTGAGAGAAAACAAAGTTGGAGAAAACGGAGTGGAAAACTTTTCCTTTTCCGCTTCCATTTTTTTTTTTTTTTAGTTTAGTTTCTACATAAAAAATTTTTTTTTTGTTTAATATTTTAAATATAATAATAATAATAATGATAGTAATAATAATAATAATAATATGAAAATCTTAATTTTACAGAGTAAAACAAATAATAATAAAAAGAGAAAAGAGAAGAGATCAAGTTCCGGGAAAGGATGGGAAAACCCAAATGTAAGTAACATCATCAACATCCTTTCATCATTTGTTCGTATTGTAAAAAAAAAAAGGCTCACGAATCCTTTCGTTAAATTATTATTATTATTATTAATATTAACATTATTAACTTTTCTTTCAGCCAATTATTCCCGACTTCTGACTCTCAATCAATCTAATACTAAAAAAAAAAAAAAAACGTATATCCAATGTATTGGAAATTCAATGTGTTCTTTGGCGTTTTTTCTTTTGTGTCTTCTCAAAGGGTTTTTGTTCTTTCCAAGAGATCTTCGACGAATTTCTAGAAAAAACACAAAACAATTTATTATTATTATTATTAATAATAAATTAATGATCGGACTTTCACCACCACCCCCATCCCGAAGGAATATTTACGGTGAGTTTATTTTGTTACTTTTTTTTTATTTATTTACCTTCACCTTTCACCGGTTTTTTTGCACCTGTACATTTAATAACATTTAACGATTTATTCGATGACGTCATTTATAATTTTTTTTTAAATAAAGAAATCATTGTTAATTTTTATAATAATAATAATAATAACGATGGTAATAAAATCGATCGATAAATCAATTTTTTTTTATTAATGTTATAAACAATTCAAAGTTTAACTGAATGAATTTTTTTTTTTTTTTTTTAAATAAAATTTTTGGCTTCGACAACAAAGATGACTTTTAAACTTTTATTTTTTTCTATTTATTTATTTTTTAAACAATTTTTTTGCGTTATTATTATTATTATTATTATTATTAATAATAATTCACCGTTTACATCATTTAAATAATTAATATCATGATGTTTACTTACTTGAACATCGTTTCTTGATTTTTTGGCGTCTGCTAATATAACCTGTGAATAAAATTAAATAAACATTATCATTATCATTATCATCATCATCATCATCATCATCATCATCATCATTATCATTATCATTAGTTTAAAAAAAAAAAAAAAACGTTTCGGTTCTTTCGAATACCGACGCCATTTGCAATTTTAAAAAAAACATTAACGAACGGGTGAATAAATAATTCAAAAAAATTAATTATTATTATTATTATTATTAAAAAATAAATTTATTAATAATAAAAAAAAATTAATTAAAAATTTATTTAAATGATAATAATAATAATAATATTTTCTTTCTCATTAAATTTGAAAGAGAAAAAAAAAATTTCAAACGAAATCGACTTATTATTCACATTGGCTTGCGTATTTTTTTTTGTAATAAAATATCGAAAGAGCAGTAGACGAGGTAATAAAATAATAATAATAATAATAATAAATGAATGATATTTCCATAAAACATGACGGTGATGACGTCATATTAGCCACCGAATTTGAATGAATTTTTTTTTTGAGAGTGAGAGAATTGCCGACGACGATATATGCCCTTGAGTTAAAATCTTGGTGATCGTCACCGGCACAAGAACGAGAATTTTAATTTTATATTTATATTTTATTAATTTTAATTTATTTTTATTATTTCGATATATCGATTATAATTCGAGAGCTCGTGATATTTTTTAAAACGATTCGAGAATTATTAAATTAATTACGAAACGACTCACGACGAATTTTTTTTTTTTCATTGGCGGTCGACACTTTATTTATTTTTTTTTTTACGTTTGCCAACCACTTGATGTGTTTTAATTAAATAATTTTCATTGATGATAATACTAATAATCATAATAATAATAATAGGTTTTTAAATAAATACCTCCAAATGTTTCCGCCTTTGGTCATCTGAATCCATGTCCAAAAGTTCATCGATATCGACTTCGACTTCTTCATCTGGACCTTTTACTGTTGTGTCCTATAACAAAAAAAAAACAAATTATTAAACAACATAAATTATGTTTTAAACATAAATCAATTAATTAATTAATTTTTTTGCCGTAGTATGAAATATTTTAATTTATAAATATTAATTAAAACTAAAACAAATGTCACTGACCTCACTTACTACTCGGACTAGCTACTTTTTATTAAAAAAAAAAAAAGTTTCGTCGGAAAGATTTATTTATTATTTAAAAAATTATCGATCGATTCGATATAATCGAAACAAAATTTAAAATAATCGATATTATAAATTGTTGTTGCGTTTGGCATAAAGCAGAAGAAAAAAAATTTCTTTTCAAATTGGTTTTAGGGTGAGAGAGTAAGTGTGTGTGTATAATTTTTTAAACAATACTCACGATTCCTCGTGGTTTATGGATTGTTTTATTATTATTATTATTATTATTTTATGTTTAGCTTTTGGTATATACTACCCTTAACTACTGTTTCTGACACGTGAAAAATATCTTTATGACAATCTACCCTCTTTTTGACGAATAAATAAATAAATTTTTTTTCATTTTCTTTCCCCTTAGTTTTTTAAAAAACAGTTTTAAAAAATAGTGGCACAATTTTACTGCCTTTGTTATTAACCACGATATTAAATTTCTTTCAAGGCAAACGTAGAATATTCTAGAAATTGGAAACTTTTTTTTTTTGTAAAACTATCGGCCGATATTTTTTTTTTGCGTTCGGTTAAACTACCGAACAAGGAAACCAACGTTCACACAACAACCACGAATTAAACAATTAATAATAATAATATTAATAAATAAATAAATAAATTGCAAATTGTTATTATTTTCAAACGAATAAAACAAGGATAGAAAAGGAAAGGAAAGGATTAGTTATTTTTGATTTTTATTGGTTATAATTTTTAACTCGTTTTATGATGATAATAATAAACTAAATTATATCTTAATTTAATATCCGTCATCATCGCCATCATCGTCATCGTTATTTATTTTAATTTGCGTGACCCCCCTTTTGTTTTTTCTATTCCTTTTTCGTTAACGCCACGTTTTTCTTGTTGTTAAATAAAAAACCTTGTAAAAAAAAAAAAAACTTTAAATGGATTAAAAGTTTAAATTAAAAAAAAAATTACGATAACCTTTAATAAGGTAAAAAAAAAAAAAAATTATTTATAATTATTATTTTAAAAAACCATAAAAGGATTTTTTATATACGTATATGGATTAAGGAGGACGATGGGAGGAGGAGGAGGAGGAGGGGACCGAGAGTTCAGGGGTTAACGAGTATCATTGATTTAACCGAAAAACTACTCGTTAAATTTAAATTTTCTAAACATTTCGCTTCAACTACTTGAAAACATATTCGACTACGTACAAAAATCAATAACATCAAGAAAATAAAAATAAAACGAGGGGGGAGGAGAGGGGAGGGAATAAATAGAAAATGTGGGTAAATGAGGGACCCGATAAACAAAGAAAAGCAGAACCAGACGATGGTGCTTTAACGGTCACCCACGTTTCCCACGAAATTTAAAAAAAAAAAATCTTTTTACGACGTTTTTTTTTTTACATGTTCACAGCTGCAGAAATTTTTTTTTCTTCTGCTTCCTGTATTAATTAAATTTAAAGACTTTTTTTTTCTTTCAACGAATTTAACTTGTCGTTTGTTTTATTTTTTCTAGAAAAAAAAATAGAAGAAGAAGTCGAATCAATGTCACACACACACAGACACACGTCCATGTTTTTTTTTGTAACCGAAATGAAAAAATGGGTCACTAATTCCGGTAAGTTTTTTTTTATTTTTATTTTGTAAACTATAAAAAACGAAACCGATAGTACAACCTGATTTTTTTTAAAACAATAATAATAATAATAATAAGAGGAAGAAGGACAATTAAAAAATTATCTAATTGGAAGACGTGATAATAATTAAGTTTAGATAAATTAGTATCTTTTTGAGTATGAGTCAAGAAATTAAAAACCGAACAAAAAAACAGGCTTAAAAGCAAACAAAGCCAAAAAAAAAATTTGTGGTCAATGATCTGGAAAAGTGTGTTAATAAATAAAAAAAACAAGATTTTACGTCTTAAAAAACGAAACGAAAAAGAAAATTATGTTTGTACGAGTTTGTTGTCAAATTTTTAAAAACTATAACAACGATCGAATGAGTTTTTTTGAAAAAACTCTTTCATACTTTTTTTTTTTTATTTTACCTGGCTCGAACCCAAATTAATAAAAATAATGACTAACGTAGTAAAAAAAAAACAAAAGAAGAATTGCGAAGGTCGTAAAGGTCACAAACACGAGTAATAAAAAAGGTGGGCTACCCAAACCGAAAAATTTTTTGCACAATTTAAAAACTCGTTCGACTTAATAATTATTCGTATTTGTCATATTTTAAAAACCGGAAATTCAATTCGATTTCTCATCAACATACACACACACACACACATAATTTTTTATTACGACACAAACAACAACAACAATTTTTCATTGATTGTTTTTAATTGAAACGATAATTTTCTTCTTTTTTTTTCTTTGTTTGTTTGTCTGTCTCCCTGTCCTCGTTCATTTTTTGTTTTTTATTCTTTAATTACTCGAAGACGTTTCAACAACAACAAAAACTTTTTTTATTATTAACAAAAGCCGAATTCAATCAAAAAACATTTTTTTTTAAACAAATCAATTAATCAATATTAACAAAAAAAAACCTTGGAATTTCATTTAAAGGGACAATTCAGAAAATTATTTAAATAAATAAAAAAAATTAAGAAGCGGGTTTGGGGGGGAGGGAGAAGGTCTTTTCAAAACATTAATTATATATTTGGAACATTATCATTATGTTGATGTATCATTATTAATATTTTTTTTCGGTTGGGGGGAAGAAGGAGGAGGAGATGGAAAAAAAATATTTTTGATTGTTGCCAAGAACACGACAGGGTGACGTTTCCGTCTGGGATTTTATTTTTTTTTTTACTCGTATAAATGAATTTTATATTTATATAAATAATTAAAATTATTCCTACAAGAACTACGCTAAAGTTTAAATATCTCTTCATCCAGAAAGTTCTTTTTCCTCCTTCTTTTCCTCCTTTTTCTTCTTCTTCTTTTGTTCAATTTAATTGTTTGTATTTTTATATAAAAACAATTTTTTTTAAAAAATTATTCCAGTCAAAATAAAACTCCTTTTCCTCCTCCCCCTTTTCCCTCACCTCCTCCTACTCCTCCTCCTCTCGCAAAAAAAAAAAATCGATCGAATGTTTTAACGTGTCAATAGAATTCTTATCATCATTTAAATTCAAAACGTAAACATAACCCAAACGAGTTATCAGCCTATCATAAATACACGTTCAATTTTAAAATTATGTAATAATGATGATGATAATAATAATCCTCCTCGTTTTTAAATAAATAAATAAATATCGTATTTTATTAGTGGGTTAGAAATAATGATGATAATAATAATTTGTACGGTTCTAATTAAAAATTAAAAATTAATGAATGTTTAGTTTTTCGTTACGATTTATGTGGAAAGTAGAACAAATTTTACTTTTTTTTTCCCCAATACATAAGTTAAACGTATAAAATTTATTATTATTATTATTATTATTATTATTATTATCATTATTTTTATTTTTAATAATCCGAATTAAAACTTCAAATAGCTCACATAAAAAAATTTTTTTTTACACGCGTTTTTATTCTAAAAATAATTTTTTTTTATTTTTATTTATATATATAAAAAAAAAAAAAAATTTCACTAGTCAGTCATCATTTTCTTTTTCGTTTCCCCCCTCCCCCCTCTCCTCCGATTTAATTTTTTCAAAATGTCGTCAATAAGAATCAATATTATTATTAAAGTATTAATTTTTATTATTATTATTATTAAAATAAAATTTTTAAGTAAATTTTTATGATATTTTTTTTTTTAAAGGAAAAATATCAAAAATTATTTATTATATTTGGTCTGAGACTACGTGAGTCGTTTTAGAATTTAATATAAGAAAAACTCGTAAAAAATATTATTTATACTGGAAAAAAAAATTTTCCAGGTTTTCTTTTCCAGTTTGTTTCTATTTCTTGAAAAATCAATCTTTTAAAATTTTTTTTGTTTTGATGTATAATAATAATAATAATAATATTTTTAAAAAAAACGTGTGGAAAGCGAAAAAGTTGCTCAATTGTTTTGTTTTGTTTTTTTTCTCCATGAAAATTCAAGTTCGTATTAATTTTTTTGTTTTTCCCAAGATTAATCATCAAATTTATAAGGAACAAATAATTCCAGAATGTTGTAGAAAATTTTTTTTTTATAACAAAATGTTAAGCATTTCATAAATTATTATTACAACCAGGTGTTTGTTATCCTTTTATTCATTTTTACTTAAAATCATTAACCGTATAAAAAAAAAAAATGAGTGGAAATCATTCGGCCATCTTTTTATGTATATTCGTAAAAACAATACGGCTTCAAGATTTAAAATTCGAAAAACAAAACCAGTTATTATTATTATTATCATCATGGAATATTATATTCAGTTGTGAAAACAATTAAAATTGTATTTAAAAAAAAAAAAAGAGAGAGAATTTTTTACAAAAAAAAAGAAAAAATCCATTTTAAAACTGTTGTACTGACAATGTAAATACGCCATTTATATTATTTTTATGATTTATTGCCCCCCCCATTTTTTTTTCTTTCCCCCCTTATTAAAATTCATTGGATATATCAAAAGACTATTATTATTATTATTTAAACGAATCCATTTCGTTTTACGAATCCGACAAAAACGAAAAAAAAAGTATATAAATCAATAAAAAATGCTCGGGAAAAATAAATTTTTTCAAATTCGATTAATACAAAAAAATTATTATTATTATTATTATTATTATTATTTTCTTACGGATATAATAATTAATACATAAATAAAAATCTAACACCTTTTTTAATAATAACATTATTATTATTTCGTAATTTTATAAATAAATGTTAAGTTAACGGCCTGCGTGCGTGTGCGTGTGTGTGCGTGCGTGTAGGTGAGTGACGTAATTCCTTTCGTATAATAAACAAAATTTTGTTTGTTGTTATGATAAAATTACACCGACACGTTTACCGCGTAAATAAAAATAATAATAAACAATTATTTTTTTGCAATGACGAGTAATTTAAAAGTTTACGTATTTTACGATTACGTATTTAATATCATAATTTAATAATAATGATAATTAATAATTTTTTACAAAAAAAAAAAAAAAA